CCTTGCCAACCTCAACAGAACACATGACCATAACACAAGGCACAGATCACTCTTTGATGTTCCTCGTGTCCATCTCACGCTATGCAAAAACTCAATGCACATAAAAGGCCCTAAAATCTGGAATTCATTACCTGTAAATATAAAAGAAACACTACCTGTTTACAAATTAAAGTCTCTTCTCAAAGATCACTTACTCACTCAAAACCAAATAAATACTGAATAACTGAACCTTATAAATTGTATATCCTATATGTTACTCACAATTATATCACACAAATGTTAAACCTAGGACCCAATCTAACTTTGTTATTTTTTTAAATACACTACCTAACAGAATACTCCATTCGACTGAATGCACAGCAATGTATGCAACCATATGTCCTGTCTTTGTAATACTCATTTGTGCTTTATAGTTATCTGTTTACAATAATGTTTTATCACTGATTTCATCATTGCTTAGTTAATCTTAAGTTAATTTTAAGCCAGCCCGTAATGCTATGCATGTAAGTGGCTTTGGCATGCTGCTCTTACCTGTATTTTTTTTGTACCTCTGTATGTATGCTAAAATTACTAAATAAATAAATAAATTAGTAACCCCTGTGTAAGCACGAAGGTTTTGAAGCTGTTACGGCAGTTGGACCCATTGTGGAATGCTTGACGATATCCTCATCGCCCTGCAGAAGTCTCCCAGCTCAACGTAGTATGTTTCATTTCCACCAGGGCGAAACCATCCCGTGTCATGTAACTCTCGTTTACATCTGCGGGACTTCCCAAAATGGGGGATTTATTGTAATCTACTACTCTGATGAATTAATATGTACTAACTCTACAAGTGACATGGTAAATATTTTTTTGGGTAATTTTACAACCAAAAACTTAAAGACCCCCAATTACAGTTGGAATAGTCTACGGGTTACCCTCAAACAAATGCTCCCACCATCAGTGATAATTTTAAAAAATTTCTAATGATTAACAAGCACTTAAAAAACCACCTAATATACTTACTGTAAACTTCAGCATAAACCTTGCCCAAGCTGAAGACCCTAGGTAGCTGACTTCCCTTAACAACATGAACAGTTATTTGTTAATACTATTTTATAATTTAGCCTACAAGAACTTCCGAGACTAATACACGCTGACTTAACTATATATGGCCCAAATATAATAGCTCCTCAAAGCAGAGATAATCACTACGCCACCTTCCTCGTAACCAACATATGTAAATTTCCCACTTGAAACTAGTGATATCTCCTTCCGTTTTCCATGCTGAGACATCAGTAAATAACTTTACTGCAGCAGTGAGTGACAATGACTGGCACGAGAGTTTTTGATGGCCGAGAAATTGATAAATGATTTTACTACAAAAATCAGCCCTCTACAATAGGCATTGTCCTTTAAAAATAAGCAATAACAGGAATGAGACTAAGTAGCCCATGGCTTACGAATACCATACTCAGGTCTACTGAGTAGGGTATTCGTAAGCCATGGGAATGATAAAAAACAAACTAAAAACTATACGTCAGTACTTAGTAGTCTAGTAAGGAAGTCCGGTTTAATGCAAGTTTAATGCAGGTTTAATGCAATAAAAGGGGATATAAAAAAGAAGTGGAAAACACTCTCCTGAGTTCTCGAAAACTGACTAAAACCAGAGATATTGTCCTCACATCTAGCTTGCTGAAGCAGCCAATATACTAAATGATTATTTTTTTTACTAAGGATCAAACCTAGTCAGCAAAATCCCAAGTTCCAATTCCCAAGAGAGCAACTACCTTGCTGGAAATTTCCCAAACTCTGTATTTAGCACTAAGTAATTCACTGGAAAACAAGGCTAATTAGCTAATTTTTTTACACTAATGTACAAAAAACAGCTAATGTGATATTACACCATTGAAAAACTGTTCACAAATCGTTTAAAAATCAAAAATTTTAAAACATTGCTTAAGTTTACCCCAGTACATAAAGGAGGAGACCCAACTGTTGTAATTATCTATAGGCCAATATCTAATTTGCCATTGTTATCTAAAATCTTCGAAAAACTAATTCATAAGCGAGTTACTCTTTCCTAGTCCCCCACAATATACTTAACCAAGTCAGTTTGATTTCAGCCCATAAAAAAAGTACAAATAATAATTTCTGGACTTAATTTATGCCTCTCAGAAATAATGAATACTCAGTGGGCCTCTTCATAGACCTTAGGACAGCTTTTGAAGACCCCAACATCCTACCTTAACATCAAAAACAACCAAAATTTTCTCCGTTTAAAGGGGATAACCTTGAAAACTCGACCTGTCACTATAGGGTTCCTCAGGGCAGTGTACTTAGCCCTTTGCTTTTTCTTCATATACAAACAATACCTTAGTGGGATCTCAAGTACTTAAACCTGTTCTGTTTTTAAATGCCGCAACTTTTTTCATTACTCTTTCAAATCCGAATTTTTTCAATAACACTGTTTAAAGAGTATAGATAATAAATATTCACCTGGATTACTACTAATTAACTCGACAAGACCTTCTACATGATGTTTAGGAACAGAGCTGCAAATGTCCCCGCTAAATATAATGAAATTTAAAGATTCTCACATTGTAAGACTAAACGAGAGAAAATTCTTAGATCGACCTTGACTGCAACTGGAAAAACAACACTCAAATTCAATACATATTCAAGGGCTATAAAATAGTAGGTATTCTCTCTAAGATACGTTAGTATGTACCCATAAGATTTCGTTCGGATTTTTTAACCCCCGGGGGGTTAGCCACCCAGGATAACCCAAGAAAGTCAGTGCGTCATCGAGGACTGTCTAACTTATTTCCATTGGGGCCTTTAAAATTGTCCCCCAGGATGCGACCACACCAGTCGACTAACACCCAGGTACCTATTTGCTGCTAGGTGAGCAGGACAACAGGTGTAAGGAAACGTGTCGAAATGTTTCCACCCGCCGGGAATCGAACCCGGGCCCTCCGTGTGTGAAGCGATAGCTTTAGCCACCAGGCCTCATAAGCATTACTTTCGCTGTCACTTTCTAATCTATCCTTACCCCACATTTGGTATTTTTTGCGTTTGGGGTCTTCTACAGAAAATCCCCTAGAACAGAAAAAAAATCAGAAAAGCGGCTGTACGAACGATCACGCAACTTAGTGCTAGACAACACACGCCTCCGCACATATTCAGTATACATAACATTCACTCATGCTACTCTACATACTATATAAAGAAGTCAATCACTTAAAATATAAACCCTTCTCTGAAACTCTTCACGTTTAGCTGCAACAGATCTCATAAACTTAATACAAGACACAAAAGTCTCTCTGATATTCCCAGTGTTCGACTCAACCTGCGTAAAAACTCAGTGCTCATAAAAGACCCTAAAATCTGGAACTCTGTGCCTGAAGATTCCAACAGCTCTGTCTGCCAACCACTTCAAAGCTACTGTTAAAAAACACCTAGTCACCTTAATGTGATCTTAATAGCAATATACCATGATAAATCCTCAAGCCTCTTTTCATCCACGTTATTCCTGTCCATGTTCCGGTTTTCCTTCCACTCTCATATAGTGTTTGATAGGCATATATTTTGTATTGAAATTTAAGTAACAAGTAGCACTCACCCTGCTAAACCAGATAGATGTATTTATTTGTGATTTGTTTCTGAATTAACTTGTAATTTGTGTCTATTTTTAAGTTCTTACAATTTACAAATACTGGTTGGTTGGTAATGTTTGTCAGGAAACAGGACAAGTGTTTCCTGACTCGGGTTTTAGTCATATAATTATAACCATTTTATTATAGGAGGATTATAAATTATTTGCATTAGACGCTTAGAGAGGCAAATGAAAAAAAAAATGTAAAATAAAACTGAAAATTTTAAGTACAGTAAAGTGAAAGTTTTGCCCGAGATGCTATACATTGTACTGTGCTTCAGATTATTGTATCTCCTGTACATTAATACTGAAACATTTGACCATTATATGTAATGACCTCTACAAACTTTATAACAAACTGTTTTACAATACATTCCAAAAGTGGCATAATTCTTGTAAACCAAATTAGTTAATCGTACAGTAGTTATAACAACATTTTTAAGGGTGCCAGAAATGCTCTACATAACAGGGACTCTGTAAAGTATACCAGTGATGTCATCTGTTCTTAAACCAACGGTATATTGTACTCTCCGTAAGTAAAGATTGACATTATCACTATTATTACTACTACTATTGTTACTACTATTGCTACTATCATTGCTACTACTACTACTGCTACTAGTTATACTAATGATACCTCTGCTAGTAATAACACATAAGTGCAGTAGGCCTATAGGCCTACTGCAAGGCGCACCCTACCTATATTCTCACTCGTGTATCACTGCAGTTCTGCCACCCTGAAAGACGACGCCTAATATTCCTTCATAGATTATATTTTCATACTGTACACTTCGTTTTAGTTTTTTTTTTTTTTGGTACCTTTTTTCTTTGGTTTAAAAATACTTTTAACATCATTTTCAGTGAAAATATATTCCTTTCATTCTATAAAAGAGATTTTAGGAAAAAGTCCGAAATTTTGGGGTGTTTTTCCTAATAGACCAATTCGTTTTATTTGGCCAAATTGGTTTATTAGGACTTCTACGTCATCTTCATCTCTCACAATAACAACTACAACAACAACAAAACAACAACAACAACAACAACAACAACACCTACTACTACTACTACTACTATAATTACTAGTATTACTATTTACTACAACTATTACTATGATTACAGTTACTAGGATTGCTACTACTACTATTACTATGATCACCACCACTACTACTATCTACTACTACTACTACCATCACTGAAAATAATAATAATAATAAACGTATCTATCTGTTCCTATTCTTCAGCAGTTTTCAAGGGCAAAACGTATCAATAAAAACTTGTCCTCCAACGTTGATTTTCTTTGGAACAAACCATCTGAAATTATTAGTTAGATAAGTGGATAACATGGTTATTTATGACATTTCAGACGGATCGTGGGGCAGAGGAAGAGGAGGACGAGAACACTCCCATTATGAGCCAACATGGCTCCTTCGAGGAACAATCCACCCACACTGAAGACATCAATGACTTCGTCAACACCGCCCCCTGGACCAGACGCCAGCACGAACCCCGACCCAAGCTTGCCAAAGGCGACCGTAAGTTCGCGTGGGTTTAAGCCTTATGTTCATTGTAATATCCGTGGAGGGAGACTGCTAAACTAGTCAGGGTAATATTGTAATAACCATGGGTAAAGAGGGGTAATATTCGTGGTCTTGGGAATGGGGAGGCAGACAGGTTCCAGGTACACATAATTATAATTATCAAACTTAGTGTAAATTACCTGGGATAACCCAGAAAAGTCAAAATGGCTTATTTCCATTTCATTGCATCCCTGGTGATGATTGTGGGGACCAATGTACTTCATTTCCTTCTTTCCTGGACCGGGTCCCAGACCTGGCCTCCTGGCTAACAAGTTCATCAGTCAGGAATTGAAAATGACTTGAAGTTCCACAGAGAGAATCATGACTTGATTAGACAAGTAATGTTACCAGACCTGTATGACAAGGCCTTTTTGTGACCAGCTTTTTGTGTGCACCCTGTTTTGGTAACCTGTGGTTCAATTTTGGACACGTGCGACCAGCATAACGGCCCGGTTGACAGGCCCTGTTTCCCCGGGGAGGCTTGGTCGTGGCCCGGGCCGCGGGGCTTTCCCCCGGAATAGCCTCCAGATAGACTGTAGGTTTGTGTGACAAACCCGTTTTTTTTACCAGGCCTATTGTGTGGCTAGGCCTGCTGTGGGGACCAAACCAGACAATTTTTAAAAACCAGCCCTTTCTGTAATTTTGACTCCTCCCAGTCCCTCTTGTCGCCAATTAGATATACGGGGGAGAGGGTATAAAAAAGCTCCCAAATCGTACCAAAACCTTTACAAAAAACCTCAAAACTCACCTTTGATAAGTTTCGATTTTTCTCTTCCGAACTTTACCCGGGCCAGGCTTGTTTCGTGCTTTCCTATCAAAACCCCGCTGTTGCTGCTGGGGGGCCGCTGGGTAACATACCCATCACAGCGTGGTTAAAACTAGCACCCGGGGGAGAACTTTTCATTTTCCCCCTTGAAAATTTCTATACTGTCCCAGCGTGTTTTTTTATAGCTTCTGGGAAGATGATAAATATATGGGACCACAGTGTTGATACTATGTTCTCTTTTGGTGCCCACAGTATCCCTACGTTTCAGTGGGTTTATTTTGCGCTTCCTCCCATATCTCTCACTCCAGTTTGTTGTTATGGCAGTGTGCAGATTTGGGGCCAGGGCCTCGAGTACTTTCCAGGTATAAATTATCATGAATCTCTCTCCTCCGCTCCAGCGAGTACAACCCTTTTTTTCTCTCTCACAAAATGAATTATAAGGAGATCTCATTCAATTCTTTAAGATAATGGATGGCTTTGACACAACCAAACACGAAGAACCTATTTGAAGTGCTGAGAAAATGGAATGAAACTGAGAGGAAAATGCAACACGAACGTGTGCAAGTTATTTTCAGGTAGAATGGAATTAACTAGCGGGTATTGTAAGCGTGAAGACAATACAATCATTGAAAACCCAGCTGAACGAGCATTTTGCAGGTATTGGATTCAACTAGATACATCATGCCTGAAGAAATCGTCTTATGTTTCATTTCTCCTGTGTGGTATAGGCCATCCTGTGTAAGTTTATTTAAGTACAGGCACATAGAAGTATAATTTTCATACATAGTTTAACGTATGTGTAAATTACGTAGGTTAACCCAAAAAAAATCAAAACGACTTATTTCCACTGGGGTCCTTGTGAGATTGGTTAACTTTCCAACTCTGCTGGCACGATACCCATGGAAGCTACAGTAGCTTGTGAACCCTTAGCAAAGTATCTGATGATATGCTTTTTGCCCTACTAAAACTTCTTATTCAGGCTGACAAATTTCATAACTTGCCGGATGAAACTTATCTTGTGTGAGAGAATGTGGCAGGGAAACAGCTAGCCTTTGTTTCCACTGCCAATATCCCGTAGAATAAGGTAGCCACACGTTATTAACATATTTACGTAGAAGGAGATCATTTTTTCCCAGCAGACAGCGTCGGTATATACTCCCAAGCCCTCTGCTGTCTGTCTTTCTCATGTACATGTACTCCCGTGTATCGCGCCGCAGTACAAGGCATCAGAGGCGAGACACCGTCGCTAAGGTTACCCACATAATAAATATTCTTAAGAGAGACATGTGTAAACACTAGCCTGGCTCACTCTGTGTTGAACTGCTTAAAGTACACAAAAAGTGGCACTCAGTCCTTCAGATGTTTAGTCTCACTCTTTTGAAGTCGAAGTTGATGTTTATCTTAATATAACGATGAGACCACGGACCAGGCTGAGGCCACAGGCAAAGCTGAGGCCACAGACTAAGCTGAGACCACGGACCTCACCATGGACCACGCGGCCACCATGGACCATGCTACCACTACGGACCATGTTGCCACCACGGATCATATTGCCATCACGGACACAGCTCTCTCGCATAACACAACTCACACCACAAATAAGAAATACAACGATAGGCTAAATACTCACTGAGCTATTGCTGGCTACAACCCCAATTACAGTATGGCGGTGCTAGTGTAAGAATAATGAGAATAATGCCCATAGCCTAATTGATTATTCTGTGCACTTAGAGCTAATGCAAAACGAAGCCCTCAGAATTATTCTTAGCACTCCTAAAACTATAAAGACCTTCTTAATATGAGGAAGGAGCTTGATGCTCCTAGTATCAGGGATAGATAACATAATTGAGATTAACACTGTACTTGCAAAATAGCTTGAACTGGACACTACCACTGGTGGTCTAGAACGAAACACCACCACTGGTAGTCTAGGACTGTATACAGATCTAAATGGGTTGTGAAAACATGCGATTATATCAAGTTTTATAAGCTGCACGAACTGTGTTGCTGTAGACAACAAGAGCATTTCACCCCTCTTTGGAAGTTGTTCTCATTTAATATCACTTACCTGCAAGTCCCTCCCAAGAAGCTCATCACTAGTAATAACTATCTTAAATCATTTGCAAAGGCAACTGACCAAAAATAAATTTCTCGCTTACTGTTAATAATAATAATATATCACAAATTATATACACTGATATATCTCAGCAGGAGTCTACTGGCGGGGCTGCATCTGCTCTTGTTGCCACCTCCCTAAATAAGAACTATATCAACCATGCTGAGTTAGACATAAACATTAACAATTGGGCGTCAACACTAATGTCATCCTAATGACTGAAGTTAACTTATGACACTGAACTTGACTCTACGATTATTGACGATTCTTGATTCATATAATGACTCTAACAACATGCTCATTGGAGAAACCAGATATAGTTACTCCAAAACCAGAGAAAGGGGAATTAACGTACAGTTTTGATGGATTTAATCACACATTGGATTACTCCTTCATGATAAAGTTGATAAATTAGCTAAAGAAAGTGGCCTAAAGAAAAATGTAAAATAGGTCTTTGGTATATCTGTGTGTAGCATTAATAATAATATCAGGAGAGAAGAAAATAATGAATCTGAACGTCATAGGAACACGATACACTTCCACCCGCGACACTACCATAAAGCCATCAATTTATTTGACTTTTACTGGGCGAGCCGGCACTGACCCCACTCTCTCTCTCTCTCTCTCTCTCTCTCTCTCTCTCTCTCTCTCTCTCTCTCTCTCTCTTCTCACTCAAAAAATTCTGCTATATTTGGACAAGATTGTTACTGTATTTACTAGCTACTCATTCTGTATCTTTCACTGGATTCATTCTACCATCCTTCCATATCTTTCACTGGTTCACTCTATTACTCTATTTTTCTCTCTAGGTTCACTCTCCTTCCATATCTCTCACTGAATTCATTCTAGTCTCCCTCTCTTATCTTTCACTCTTGTATTTCACTAATATGTCACTTCACATTCAGATATTTTTCCATGAATAGATTATAAAATTTTGGTAACCTCCATTACAGATAATACAATCAGAGCGCTTTAAGTAGATCCTAAATGCTTAGTTTACGTGGACAATACATCCCTGTATACTGTCTAGATGTGTTATCTCGTCGCTCACACCGAAATGTGTATATTTGTCCATGTGTATACACTTAAAGTTTACTGTAATTTTTATTTTTAGGTATTAAATTATTCTTGCCTGATGGTAAACAGGTTACATGCATCCTTTATGATCCTTGTATAGGCGACAATAATTAAAACCAATTAACAGCCTGTCTCTTGTGAACGATGAAACTAAAGTCCTCTGAAAAATTCCATCAGTGGGTTAGATATGCAATGGTATTTAACACTGACATCTAAGTAAACAAAAAGGCGCATGGATAATATTATGATGTTTAGTGAGACGTTACGATACCAGAATAGAGAAAACAAGTTTAGTTGCACAAGTCAGTGGCGTAGTATCTCGTTTTGCTATTTCTCAAAATCCAATATAAAGTCCCCTGAGCGAGGCTACAGCATCTGTGTTGTGCTCCGTCAATGATCATCGTCCTTGATCTTCCTTCACGCCTTCCATGAAAACATTTGACTGCTTGTTGTGCCCTGTGCTCGTCAAACAGTCATTATTTGTATGGAAGAAGTTGGAATTTGTCACCACTGATCAGTCTGTGGAATGCGTTTGAAATTTTAAATATATACTTCCCAGTTAACATGTTAACTTAGCAAGTTCGTTACACGGTGACAAAAACCACTGTACAGCTGTCATTTCGTGACCACAGTAACTCAATGTGAGTTATCACTCAGTTATCACAGTAAATAATTTATCTGAGGGGGTCAAGTTTCAAGAGATCAGATTCACTCTCTCACCATTCATCTGACTGTGGTCACTCCCTCTTCTTCCTCCACCTCCTTTCCCTTCTTCTTCTCCTTGGGTGTAATGGCGCCATCATGTTAACCTAGAACACACACATACACAGGAGGCAGGAACCATTCATAGTTTTAAGATGAGTTTGACAAAACTCATGGAGCAGGGAGAGAGAGGACCTAGTAGCAATCAGTGAAGAGGCGGGGCCAGGAGCTATGAATCAACCCCTGCAACCACAAATAGGTGAGTACACACACACACGCAGCTGGGAGGCATTC